GGGAGGAGGGGACGGAGGCTGCACTGGGGGAGGAGGGGACGGAGGCTGCACTGGGGGAGGAAAGGAAGGAGGTTGCATTTTTGGAGGAGATGGAGGCTGCATTCAGGGAGGAGGGGACGGAGGGACAGCAGGGAGGACCGTTCAGCCCGGGGGACGTCCTGGGAGCCAGCAGCCTTCCAGAGTAGCCGGTGGGGACTCCCGGGGAGGGTGGTGGGGACAGGGCTTTCTCACGGCTGCTATGAGGGTGCCGTCCACCAGGCAGGTTCTTAGTCCTTCTCCGCACCCCAGCCTGCTTCATCTTCCCCACGATTTCCAGTGAGTCTCCTCTGTGGGAACACGGTCGCTGCCGCTCACCCCCGGACGCCCACAGGCCACGGAGTGGCAGCTCTCCGGGCAGCTTCCGTCTCTCCTGTCTTGGTGCAGAGCCTGTCACGAGCGGGACCTCCCCAGCCCCTCCTGCAGGGCTGAAATGCGTCTGTAAAACACCCCCTCCCCGAGTCCAGGCAGGCCCGACTCACACCTGCCCTGCGAGGCCCTCCTGGGCACACAGTCACTGCCGCTGTAGGCAGCCCGGCGAATCCACATTTCCCCCGTGCTGCACTCCCAGTTCCTGCTGCCAGGCTGTGTCCTGACCCTCAGACCACAGTTGGCCCTCTGGTGCCCACACAGCCCCCTTTCCTCCCTGGCCCCTCCGGGAACAGCTGGGCCAACCTGGGGCTGGGCTGGGGCGGAGCCCCTCAAACCACAGCCTTGACCTTGAGGAGCACTGAGGTTCAGGCACGATCTGAAACACGGGGAGAACCGGAGCAGGCCCACGTGAAGCTTTTAGGGCAGACACACCCAGCTTTCCCGTTCCCGGGCTGGGTGTCCATCTGCGCTATATTTCAGCTGTTTTCCTTTTTTTTTTGAGACGGAGTCTGGCTCTATAGCCCAGGCCGGAGTGCAGTGGCCGGATCTCAGCTCACTGCAAGCTCCGCCTCCCGGGTTCACGCCATTCTCCTGCCTCAGCCTCCCGAGTAGCTGGGACTACAGGCGCCCGCCACCTCGCCCGGCTAGTTTTTTGTATTTTTTAGTAGAGACGGGGTTTCACCAGGTTAGCCAGGATGGTCTCGATCTCCTGACCTCGGGATCCACCCGTCTCAGCCTCCCAGAGTGCTGGGATTACAGGCGTGAACCACCGCGCCCGGCCTTTTTTTTTTTTTTTTTGAGACAGAGCCTCACTCTGTAGCCCAGGCTGGAGTGCAGTGGTGTGATCTTGGCTCAGTGCAAACTCCGCCTCCCGGGTTCACGCCATTCTCCTGCCTCAGCCTCCCCAGTAGCTGGAATTACAGGCGCCCACCACCACGCCCAGCTAATTTTTTTGTATTTTCAGTAGAGACAGGGTTTCACCATATTGGCCAGGCTGGTCTCGAGCTCCTGACCTCAGGCCTCTCAAAGTGCTGGGATGACAGGCGTGAACCACTGCGCCCAGCCCATCTTTTTATTCATTGGAGTAACTGCAAAAGCAGCACCTCTGGACTCTGAGAGTCCGTGTGGCATGCATAGAACATTGCGATGATTTAAAACCCAGTGGGGTGACAAGGCTGGAATTCTGTGCAGGGCAGCCTGGCCGGCCAGGTTCACCCACTCCCTCCTCCTTCTCCACTCAGCGAGCGCTGCACTATGAGGGCCTGGTGCATACCAGGAGTGTCCGTCTGGCTCTAAAACACCCTCTGGATTTATTTGGGGGCTGGGGTGGGGCAAAGAGGACAACAGACCCTCAGGATGATGTTGAGTACACAGCTCCTCCCCACCTGCCGAGCTCAATGCCCTTTTCCAGGGTTAAGGTCTTAGGGGGCTCTTCGCGGGGGAGAAGTCTTGGGGGGCCCTTGTGAAGGGGGAGGTCTTGGGGAGCCTTTGAGACGGAGATCTTGGGGAGTTGTCTTCCAGGGGCAGGTCTTGGGGAGCCTCTTTGGGGGGGAAGGCTTTGGGGGACCCTCTTCATGGGGGAAGTCTGGGGGGCCTCCTTCAGAGGGCAGGTCTTGGGGGACCCCTCTGGGGGAGGCCTTTTGAGGAGCCCTTTTCAGGGAAGAGGGCTTGGGGAGCCCTCTTCAGAGGGAAGGTCTTTCCGGGGGTCCTCTTCTGGGAAAAGGGGTCTGTCAGGTCCCCTCATCCTGCAGCCTCATCAGCCCTCCCTGGCCCACACTTCTTACGGGCAGAGCCTCGGAAATGACTAATTACAGAACACCTGCTGTGGCCCCACCCAACACAGAGCCTGGCACCCCACCCCACCCGGCGAAAAGCCCACCTCAGCCCTGCTCTGATTCCTTCCCGGCCATCGGATGAAGCCTAACGTCTTTCCTGCTTCCGGGTGGGACGTGGTGGCTCACACCTGTCATCCCAGCACTTTGGGAGGCCGAGGCGGGCCGATCGCATGAGGTCAGGAGTTTGAGACCAGCCTGCTGCTTGGGCCCGGCACCCAGGATGTGCTTGGCAAATGCTTCTGGAATGGATGGATGACACCCCGTCTCTATTAAAAATACAAGAATGTGGCCGGGCGCAGTGGCTGAAGCCTGTAATCCCAGCACTTTGGGAGGCCGAGACGGGCGGATCACGAGGTCAGGAGATGGAGACCATCCTGGCTAACACGGTGAAACCCCGTCTCTA